TGGACAACTGGTTGTTTAACAGTGCCTTCTAAGACTAGGTGGTTCTGGTTAGCTCTCAAATTCTGTTGGGACTTGGGATGTTTTTCCTCATATTACTGCCGTGTGTTTTAGCAACCTGAGGTTGCCCAGGTACCTAGAGAAATTTTTCATTTTCTCTGTGAGTGCTCAGCAGGTGGGGAGTACTGTGATGATGGCAGCCTATGCTGTTTCTCCTTCAAGAAGTCAAACAGCCACTTAGGACCATCAGTAGGCTATTCATTTCTTCAGTGGGTTTGACAACTCAGAAAAGGTATAGCTCATCATGGAGGCCTCAAAGAGAGGAAAAGCTCTTCAGAATAAAATGTAGACCAGACTATGTCTCTATCAGGTCAAAGCTTGGGGTTTTTCCATGTGGGTAGGAAGATCAGCTCTGTATTTACCAAATAGTTATTGTGTAACCACTGTGGCAGGCTCTGGGGCACATGGGTATTGTCCCTGCTCAGATGGAGTAAAACCTGTGCCTTTCACCTGCCTGACTACTGTTAAAGCTGGTTTATATCACTATCGTTTAAGACAACTATCAGGGCTATTGGGTGGCCTCCCTGGTTTCTCCACTGACTTGCCTTTGATTTGGGGATGTCGGCTCCAGAACCTTCACTCTCCATGCCTAAAGGAATGCCTAATGCTTTTAAGAAACATTCTGCACAAGATGTAGGAAAAAGCATAGACTTATTTTAATGTGCAGTAATTGGTTGGTAAATATTCTCTTACTTTTCCATTTAATCTTTTTAAACAATGGATCATGGCTAACCAGAAGCTCTACTTATCAAAAGCACTTGTATCCACAACTTTTTCATTCAAAGCTTTCATAAGACCATTGAAACTTGTGGTCCAGAGGAGACCCTTAATCACCCTTAAACATCTAATACCAGAGAGATCCAAGATGGCTGATCACTAGCAGCTCGGGATTGTAGCTCCCAGTGAAAGTGCAAAGAACGAGAGGACGCCACACCTTCACATGAATTCTTGTTGCTCACGCACCAGGAGATTCCCAGCGGAGGAGCCCCACGGGTCGCCAGCGCGACTCTTGTGACCGGCGAGGCGGTTTTGCCAGCGCCTCGGAGCGTCGGTTCTTGGTGCAGAATCAGAAAAGCACCATCAATCTTAACGCCGCTGATTTAGTCGGCGCAGTGGATTGCTCAGATTTCGGCACTGAGAATCAATAAGTTGGACGTCCACTCAGAAACCCAATTACAAAGATGGTAATTATAAAGACCACAGATGGATAAATCTACAACGAAGGGAAGAAAACAGCCAAAAAAGGCTGAGAATACCCAAGATCAGAATGCCTCTCCCTCAGCGGGGGATCACAGTTACTCATCAGCAAAGGAACAAGGCTTGATGGAGAACGAGTGTGTTCCAATTACAGAAGCAGGCTTCAAAATGTGGATAATAAGAAATTTCTGTGAATTAAAAGAACGTGTTTTAACCCAATCCAAAGAAACTAAGAACTTTGAAAAAAGATTTGACAAAATGTTAACAAGAATACACAATTTAGAGAGGAATATAAGTGAATTGATGGAGCTGAAAAATACAATACGAGAACTACGTGAAGTATGCACAAGTTTTAACAGCCGAATTGATCAAGCAGAAGAAAGGATATCAGAGGTCGAAGACCAACTCAATGAAATAAAACAAGAAGACAAGATTAGAGAAAAAAGGATAAAAAGGAACGAGCAAAGTCTCCAAGAAATATGGGACTATGTGAAAAGACCTAATCTATGCTTGATAGGTGTACCTGAATGTGACGAAGAGAATGAATCCAAGCTGGAAAATACGCTTCAGGATATTATTCAGGAAAATTTTCCCAACCTAGTAAGGCAGGATAATATTCAACTCCAGGTAATACAGAGAACACCACAAAGATATTCCTCAAGAAGAGCAACTCCAAGGCACATAATTCATCAGATTTACCAGGGTTGAAATGAAGGAGAAAATACTAAGGGCAGCCAAAGAGAAAGGTCAGCTTACCCACAAAGGGAAGCCTATCAGACTTACAGCAGATCTCTCAGCAGAAACCCTACAAGCCAGAAGAGAGTGGGGACCAATATTCAACATCCTTAAAGAAAAGAACTTTCAACCCAGAATTTCACATCCAGCCAAACTAAGCTTCATAAGTGAAGGAAAAGTAAAGTTTTTTGTGAACAAGCAAGCACTCAGAGATTTCATCACCACCAGGCCTGCTTTACAAGTGCTTCTGAAAGAACCACTACACATAGAAAGGAATAAACAGTATCAGCCTTTCTAAAAAATACCAAAGAGTAAAGAGCATCAATATAATGAAGAATTTACATCAACTAATGGACAAAATAGCCAGCTAATATTAAATGGCAGTATTAAACTCACATATATCATTGTTAATTCTAAATTTAAATTGACTAAATCCCCCAATCCAAAGACAGACAGACAATTTGTATAAAAAACTAAAACCCCATCAGTATGCTGCATCCAGACCCATCTCACATTCAAGGATACACAAAGACTCAAAACAAGGGATGGAGAAAGATTTACCAACCAAACAGAGAGCTAAAATAAATAAATAAAAAGCAGAAGTTACAATTTTTGCCTCTGATAAAATAGTCGTTAGAGCAACAAAGATCAAAAGAAGCAAAGAAGGACATTATATAATGATAAAAGGATCAATGCAGCAACAAGAAGACCTAAAGATCCTAAATATATACGCACCCAATACAGGAATACCCAGACATACAAGACTAATAAAGAGACTTAGACTCCCACACAATAATAGTCGGAGACTTCAACATTAATATTAGACAGATCAATGAGACAGAAAATTAACAACGACATCCAGGACTTGAACTCAGATTTGGAACAAGTAAACGTAATTAACATTTATAGAACTCTCCACTTTAAATATACAAAATATACACTCTTATCAGTACCACATCATATCAACTTAGAAGTGTAAACGAAATGTTGGTTGGCTCCTTGTTTGTTATTCTCTTCCCTCATTTTATTTCATGTCTCCATTATTAAGGACAATTATAGGCATACCCATATTTAGACTGCATTCTAGCCCGGGCAATAAAGCAATACCCCCATTCTCTCTCCCTCTTCCTCTTTCTCTTTCTTCCTCTTCTTTATTCTTTTTCTTATTATTCTTTTTTTCTTTCTCAAAAAAAAAAATAATGCTTAATACACACACACACACACACACACACACACACACACACACACACACACACACAAGAAACTTGTGGTCCATAGTTTCAAACCATCAACTTTTTTTTGGCCTATTTCCTTTTATTATTATTTTTTATTGTACTTTAAGTTCTGGGGTACAGGTGCAGATCTTGCAGGATTGCTGCATAGGTATACACATGCCATGGTGGTTTACTTGTCTCTGTCTCTCCCCACCCGCCTCACCTACATCAGGCATTTCTCCCAGTGTTCTCCCTCCCAACTTCCCCACCCCTTGCTGTCCCTCCCCTAGCCCCCATGCAAATGAAGCTAATTTTCTGTCAAAATCAGTTTACTAAAAAGAGTCAAAAGCTTTCCTAATAAGTAAAGGTTTGTTTTCACAGTTATCTGATGTGACTGTTGACCTATAATTTTGAGACCATGTATGTTTGTTATTGGAAACTGCACATATGCCTGTTTTAAAGGATTGCTTTTGTTCTCTTGAAAACTGTGTTTGCATAAGAGATTTAACAGCCCATCAACCTGGATACACTTAATCACAAAATATGACCTCATGGGTCTTGTAATAATAAACAAGGCCACATGAAACCTGTGACATTTTTCTTGGGGTTAAAAATGGTTCTTCATTTTGACTTTCTCTTTTTATTGGTTTATGTAAATAAAATAATCTTTAAATAAAAAAAAAATTCTGAAGCTCAGCTGATTTCAATCCAACCAATGTTAATTGATCATCTGCAATGTGCTAAGCCTGCAAGGAATCAAAACACATGAATGAAGAATATCTTTCATAAGCAGCTAACAAAAGACTAAAGAGGATGAGACAGGTACACTATATGAAGACGGTGTGTTGAGCTTAAAATCTAAGGTTGACGGCCAGGTTGTGTGAGAAGCAACAGCAAACAGTGAAGCATCTGGGAGCACTCTACCTGCGTGTATCTCATTTGAGCTTCACAATAACTCAATGGGAAAACTGAGTCACAGAGCAGCTAGGTAACTTCTCCAAGGTCATTCAACAAGGTAGGGGTGAAACTGAGCTCATATTGGTACCCACATCTCAGGGAGCAAGGATTCCTCTTTCTTTCAATCAGGATGTACTTCTTTTTTTTTGAGACGGAGTGTCACTCTATCGCCAAAGCTGGAGTGCAGTGGTGAGATCTCTGCTCACTGCAACCTCTGCCGCCTGGCTTCAGGCAATTCTCCTGCCTCAGCCTCTCGAGTAGCTGGGATTACAGGCACATGCCACCACGCCCAGCTAATTTTTGTATTTTAAATAGAGACGAGGTTTCACCATTTTGGCTAGACTGGTCTTCAACTTCTGACCTCATGATCCACCCACCTCCACCTTCCAAAGTGCTGGGATTACAGGCATCCTTGCCCAGCCCAGGATGTACTACTATAGGCCAAGCATGGTGGTTCACGCCTGTAATCCCAGCACTTTGGGAAGCCGAGGCAGGCTGATCACCTGAGGTCAGGAGTTCAAGACCAGCCTGGCCAACATTTAGAGAAACCCCGTCTCTACTAAAAGTACAAAAATTGGCCGGGCATGCTGGCGCTAATCTGTAATCCCGGCTGCTTGAGAGGCTGAGGCAAGAGAATCACTTGAACCTGGGAGGCAAAGGTTGCAGTGAGCCGAGACTGTGCCACTGACCTCCATCCTGGGTGATAGAGCCAGGCTCCATCTCAAGAGAAAAAAAAGGATATACGTCTACAACTTAAAACAGCTTTGTGAGATTAGCTGGAGGATTTGCAGACTGTGGATTTCTAATGTATCCATAAACCATATTTTTATTTCCCAATAGGTCATGGACTGACAGCAGTCAAGGAAAAAGCAGGGGCCACTCTACGGATTCACAGTGTAAATTCTGGGTCTTCCGAAGGGGCCCAACCAGATACTGAAAACGGGGTCCCTGAAAGTGAGTGATGTGTCTCCTCAGGGTGGTTCTTGGACTTGGGCTTTATTACACCGTGTGCATAATCAGAGGGTTTCCAAGTTCAGATCAGCAACATGAACTCTCAAAGGATTTCTTTCCTCCCTTTAGTAACAGGTGCGGCCACAGATCAGGGCTCTGCAGAAAGCCCACCCACTTCCCCTTCATCAGCCTCTCGGGGGATGCTGTCCGCCATCACCAACGTGGTTCAAAACACAGTGAGTCGCTGGCTGCTGCCTCCCTTTCCCCCCTGTGTTTCCCAGGGCCTTCTTTTGATATTTCCATTTACCAGTGACCTAGATACATCAGAGAAAAGATGCCTTGCTCAGAACTTTGGATTATGTTTTTTTATGTTTTCTGCTACAAAGTAGATGTAACCTTGGATCCAAAATAATAAGGGCAAAATGAAATATATTTTATGTTTAAAAGAGCTGTTTGGAAGGAACATTTTTCAGTCTGATTTAACAGTGTCCTTTCCAGCTGCGGCAAGGACAGCCTCTGGTTGCAGGGAGAGAGAACTCTTTGTCAGAGCTGGAACAGCCGTTTTTCCTAAATGCTCTATTTATTTTATCCCTACATTTGAAAAATCATTAAACCGTTTCAATAAAAAGTACTAGTTACAAGACAAGAAAAACAGGCCAAATATGTTTCTGAAGTGTTTCCAGAGACCAGCGTTCTTCCCTCGTCCCTACCTCTCCATTCCCACCCTTCCTCTGCCTCATATCACCCTAAGGGTATCCCCCACACTTCCCCCCACATCCCTGCCTGCCTCTTAAAAGAAGCTCAATATTAGCAGCAAAACACTGGTGAGTAATGAAAAAAGGGATCCCCCTCAACTGAGATAAGGCAGCTAGCTGGTCCTCAGGGTCAGGGAGCAAAGGTTTGTTTTTGTTTGTTTGTTTGTTTTTGTTTTGTTTTGTTTTGTTTTTGAGATGGAGTCTCACTCTGTCAGCCAGGCTGGTGTGCAGTGGCACGATCTCAGCTTCCTGCAACCTTTCCCTTCCTGGTTCAAGCACTTCTCCCACCTCAGCCTCCTGAGTAGCTGGGCTTACAGGTGCTCACCACCACAGCCAGCTAATTTTTGTATTTTTAGTAGAGATGGGGATTCCCCATGTTGGTCAGGCTGGTCTTGAACTCCTGCCCTCAGGATATCGGCCTGCCTTGGCCTCCGAAAGTGCTGGGATTATAGACGTGAAGGTTTATTTCTTACTACATAGAACGAACTAGTTTTTCTAAAAATACGGCTTGTGTCCCATTTGTTCCTTCATTCATTCATTAAAAGAAAAACTACAAGACAAATAGGATTAGCCTTAAGAGGGCACATTATCCCAGAGGACTGAGGTGACTGAGCAGATAAACACAATGTAATTCGGAAAGAGAAGAAGGCTGTGGACAAACATGAGGGTATCTCACGCAGACTTTGGGGTCAGGACATAACAGAAATATAGAAAATAACTGCTCTTCTCCTTGCTGTTTGAAGACCTCTAGACTGGGATGGGGTGAAGGAGGAGCAGCAAATCTGTCTTAGGAGTCAAGCAGCAATACAAGTCAATCATCCCTGTGGGGGGCGGGTTGTAGGATGGGAGATGAATGGAGCTCTTTCAGTGTCTCCAGCATAAGGAATGAATCCACCACCTGTCTGAGCGACCAAGAAGGCACTCTGCGTTTGTCTTCAGCAGCCTCACATTCCCTTCCATGTTCTCTCCAACCTTCTTGACCCCTTTTTCCCAAGTTCCAGACACTGCCTCTCCAGGCCTATCTTTACAGAAATCCCTGTGTCCTAACTTCCACCATTTTATTCTCAATAAAATAATCTCTTGTAGGACGTTAGCAGGCACTAAATCAAATTATGCAGGAGTGTGAATTGCTGCGATCGCATTATCCCCCAGAAGTATGCGCACTGAAAAATCTGATTTATAGTGTGATTACTGATTGGATCCCAAATCTAAAAACAAAGTCTACATGCCCAAGATGAAGTAACATATATTAATTCTATGAAACAAACTGTTTTTATTTAAATGATAATCATGAAGCTTGGAAAATGCAAATTGATAATAATATCATAATAAAATACAATTTATATCATTTGTATGTATGGTGGGAAAAAAACACAGATGTATGCATATTATAATTGCAGTTATACAGTTGGAGTATATGTATGAAGAGTTGCAAAGAAATGTATACAGTTCTGTTCACTTGAATAGTTTATGTGAATAAGTCTGGGTTATTTTAATTTTTTAAAAAAGGAAACAATGGGCCAGGCACAGTGGCTCACGCCTTTAATCCCAGCACTTTGGGAGGCCAAGGCAGGTGAATCACGAGGTCAAGAGATCGAGACCATGCTGGCCAACATAGTGAAACCCCGTCTCTACTAAAAATACAAAAGAATTAGCTGGGCATGGTGGCGCGCACCTGTAGTCCCAGCTACTCGGGAGACTGAGGCAGGAGAATCGCTTGAACCCAGGAGGCGGAGGTTGCAGTGAGCCAAGAGTATGCCACTGCACTCCAGCCTGGCAACAGAGACTGTCTCAAAAAAAAAAAAGGCAACAATGACTGTTAAAGATATTTGTGGGAGGATAACTATATAATAGACCAGTTTCTAAATTCAGAAGTACAAGGAAATCAACCTGTCTTATTTCATGAAGATATGAATTTCAAGAATTGGACTAGGTTAGTTTCCCAGATTAAAAATAGGTGGTTATTGTTAGTTTCTGAAAGTATGCAAGAACTATCTGAAACAGCCTGAGGGTCTTACCCTCCAGGGCCCTAAATTAAAGAATTCCCTAAATTAGCAGGACTATTTGACATTTTAATAGACTGCTCCAAGCAACTCTGTGACTTGGGTTAAAAAAATTTTAAACAGAAACAGCAATTGGGTCACCTGTTAATTGTATGTCTTAGATGCACATCTACTCATACACAGAGAACCAGTAAAATTAATCCCTTTGTGGGATTAATTTTATTTTATGTGCTTTGGTTTTTTTCAAAGCATCATTTTTTAATAACATTGTATGTCCTACAAATTATATAATATATGCTTTTCCAGGGAAAAGAAAATAGGATTAAATGGATGATAAATCTCCTGATGAGAAAAAATTGTGACTTTATATTGATTTTAATATTTGAAGATAGCACCAGTTACCTAGGAGTTGCTGACTGCTGCGAAACAGCAAAACCTAAAAATCTAATCTCATGCAATTATCTCATCTGCAGGGTAAAAGCGTCTTAACTGGAGGTCTTGATGCGTTGGAATTCATCGGCAAGAAAACCATGAATGTCCTTGCAGAAAGTGACCCAGGCTTTAAGCGGACCAAGACGCTCATGGAGAGAACCGTTTCCTTGTCTCAGGTTGGATTATATACTTTTGCAATTTTTTCTTTCAGTCAATAAAGTAAACAAATTTTTCTTTATCTTTTTGAGAACCGTTTCCTTGTCTCAGGTTGGATTATATACTTTTGCAATTTTTTCTTTCAGTCAATAAAGTAAACAAATTTTTCTTTATCTTTTTGAATAGCTAATTTAAAGCACATGATTCAAAGCAAATGGAATCAAAAAGCAGAGAGTGAAAATGGAGCTTCTAATATCCCCGTTTTCCCAGCCAATTAATTCCTCAGATGAGACAACCCCTGTTAACAGTTTCTTAAGGATTCTATCAGAGACAGCATAAAGATACAGATATAGATATATAGATGCAGCTATACATAAATATACAGATATGTAAGTGTATATGTATGCATGTGGATAGACGTATACATAAATACACACATGCTTTTTCAACCCAGTGGTAGCATGCTAAATACATTCTTTTACCTTTTAATTCACTTAATATTAGAATTTCTTGAAGATGATCCACTTATGCTATTGTATGCATCTCATCTCTACCAGTTACTAGCTTCGTGACCCTAAGTGAGTTACTTATACAAATAGTATTTGTCTTATTTTCCACATTGGACTCTAATATTAAACTTGCTCTTCCAGTGAACATGCCCAGGTTACCCCACAGTGCAGGCATGCCTCAGTCTGCCTCCTCCCTGAGACTGATACACAAGGTCTCTGTGCTTTCCTGAAATCAGAGGCAGCTGATGCAGCGATGGATTTTGTAAATGGCACAGGCCGTACTGGGTACTAGGAGCCCATGAAGGTTGCCTTCTGAATAACTATCACTGAGAATATGTTCATGGCAACCCTCAGAAGCTTTTGCTTTAGGCTATTTTTTCTTGTCTCTTTTGGAATAACCCAAGTAGGACCACTCTGATGTTATAGTCCAGGTAGGGACTTTGCAAGATCATCTAGACGTCACCCTCCTGTTCCTTAATAAAGAAAATAGGTTAATATTAGATCGTTAACGCTAGATGCCATAAAAGAACAGTCACTCCCAAGTATCAGTGTGACTTAGAACAAAAAGGTTTACCTTTCACTCCCACAAAGTGCAGCATGAACATTCCTGCTCACACAGGAGGCTGTGTCCCAGGGGGCTCTCATGGGGAGCTCACTTCTGACCCCACATCTTCTAGCTCCATCATCTTGAAATCCTTACTTCCAGCTTCACAGAGAGCGGATGTGGAAGGCAATATGGGCCAATTGAGGACTAGGCCGGGAAATGGCACACATCACTTTCACCCTCATATCATTGGCCAAGACTTATCACATAGACCACCCAACTCAACTGAAGGGGGCTGAGACATAGAGGTAGGTTAGCTGTGTGTCTAAAAGGAAAAGGATATTTGATGAGTGTATAGGAATATGTTTGCTGTAAGATTTATATATATATATATATATATATATATATATATATATATATATATATATATATTTCAGCTCACTGCAACCTCTGCCTCCCGGGTTCAAGCAATTCTCCTGCCTCAGCCTCTCAAGTAGCTGGGACTACAGGCACATGCCACCATGCCCAGCTAATTTTTGTATTTTTAGTAGAGACGGAGTTTCACCATGCTGACCTCATTCTCCCAAAGTGCTCTGATTATAGGTGTGAGTCACCATGCCCAACCTAATCTGTATATGTATTTTTATACACACATACATACACGCAAACATATGTGTATGTGAGTGTATACACATACATATTTAATTCAAGCTAAGATAGTGATAAGGTGGAAAAAACGAGACTGGGTCCAAAAACTGGCTAATTCTATGGCTTCTTTGGCTATAAAATGAAGAATTGGATTAGGGTAGTTTCCCAGACTTTTGTGCCACTGTCACAATTTTTATCACATCTGCATGCAATCTGTTAAAAAGTAGCACTGCCCATAAATTGTCAGTAGCAATGCTCTTAGAAATGTGTCACCCAAGAACCACACTAGCCATCTGCAGCGTGTTTTTTTTAATCACACATCTGAACTATATGGCAGGGAGTATGATACGGAACATTCTGGGGCACACCTGAACTTGCACCTATAATTCACATGGCCTGTGTAAACTGGATCATCACAACACTACTGACATTAACCTCCCTCGAAACAGGGATTTTTCATCCATCCATTCATCCACAAATGCATTTTGCATGTCAACTCTGTTCCAGGTACTGTTTCAAGCACTTGGGATACATTAGTAGCCAAAATGGATAAGAACTCTTACCCTTAAAGAGCTTTTGTTTTAATGAGAAGAGACAAACAGACATTATCCAGTTTTTGAGAAAGAGACGAGTGCCATGGGCAAAAGCCAGAGTAGAAAAGGAAGAGGTGATCAGGAATGTGGGTGTGAGGGGCAGGCCGAGTGCTAAGTAGGATAGTGAGGGGGCCTTGGGCAGATGATGACATGTGAGCGAATACTTGAAGCTGATGAAAGGGTTGGCCGTGCAGGAATCTGAGTAAAGCTCGTTCCGGGTGAGTGGGAACTCATGCAAAGGCCCTGAGGCAGGAGCGTCTGGTATGAACACAGAACAGCAGGATGCCAGTGATGGGGAGGCGTGAGCTCTGGGTGAGAGTTGTTGAAGAGGACACCAGAGTGGTGACAGGGAGTGGCGATGGCAGATCACGGCAGACATTTGTAAGGACCTTGGGTTTTAGTGTTTGTGAAATGGGGAAACCATTGCAGCATTTTGAGAAAAGAAGTGACAAAATCTGCTCTGTGCTTTTTTAGCAAGATCACTCTAGTTCCTGTGTATAAAATTGGGAGGACCATGGTTAGAATGTGTATCTGTCTAGGGACTCCCAGAAACAGACACCAAGATGGGCTTAAACATGCAAGGATTTCATTAGGGGAAGTGCTTGTGTGAGAGAAAATGGGGAGGGAGCCCAGGAAGGCTGAGAGAACCATTAGACCAAGATGCCGGTCCCACCCCAGCGAAGGAAAGAGGGAGAGAAGAATGGGTGGAAGTGTCCTAAAGGAAAGGCTGGACGAAACCAGGGGAAAGCCCATCCGCCAAACACTGCTGACAAAGGAGACCTCATCTTTCAGTAAAGGTCTGCCTTAGTGACCCTACTGCACCTGTGATTGGCAGAGAGGAGCTGTCGGGGGCTGAAGGCTGGATTTTGAAATCCAGCATTTATGCCCTGGGGGTAGGCGAGGCGGGAGGTTGCACTCTCACTGGAGAATTGCTCTGTCAATTGCTGTTATCTAAACAAGCTATGACGGTGGCCCCAGGCACCATGGAGGCCTTGTAGACAGTGAGGAATGGCTGATTCCGGGTATAATTGGAAGATAGTTCCCGATACCCTGTTGGAGTGAATGTGAGCTACGAGATAAAAGGAGTTGTCAGGGATGGCTCCAAGGTCTTTCCGACAACTGGAAGGACACACAGCGGAAACAGGGAAGTCTGTTATATTTTTTCCTTTACACACTAAAGAAATACAGAACTCTAGAAACGAGGAGCTTGCATGCATGCACTACCTAAATTACTCGTGTTTTTATCCCAGTAGCCCAGCCCAGGGAATACTCTTTTTCTTTCTTTCTTTTCTTTTCTTTTTTTTTTTTTTTTTTTTTTTGAGACAGAGCCTCATTCTGTCACCCAGTTCGGTTCGGTAGCACAATCTCAGCTCACTGCAACCTCCACCTCCTGGGTTCAAGTGATTCTCCTGCCTCAGCCTCCTGAGTAGCTTTTTTACAGGTGTGCAGCACCATGCCTGGCTAATTTTTGTATTTTTAGTAGAGATGGGGTTTCACCATGTTGGCCAGGCTGGTCCTGGACTCCTGGCCTCAGGTGAACTGCCCACCTCGGCCACCCCAAGTGCTGGGATTACAGGCGTGAGCCACCACGCCCAGCCAAGCACAGGGAATACTGTTTAAATAACACGGTGACAGGGAGTTCCATAGCTCCCCTGAGTCAGGAATTTTTCCTGGCCAGGATCACTCCCTGCTATTGAAACCCACTTTCTTTTCTTTTCCAGAGGGAAAATAGAACCAGTATCCCTTGTCAAGCTGCTTATCCCTTAGGCATCTTTAATTTTACTCCCCAGTTTTGTTGTTTTTGTTTTTGAGACAGAGTCTTACTTACTCTGTTGCCCAGGCGGAAGTGCAGTGGCACGATCTCTGCTCCCTGCAACCTCCACTTCCCAGGTTCAAGCAATTCTCCTGCCTCAGCCTCCTGAGTAGCTGGGATTATGGCCGCCTGCCACCATGCCTGGCTAATTTTTTGTATTTTTAGTAGAGTCAGGGTTTCACCATATTGGCCAGGCTGGTCTCAAACGCCTGACCTAGTGATCTGCCCACCTTTGCCTCCCGAAGTGCAGAACTGCAGGTGTGAGCCACCTCACCTGGCCTACTCCCCAGTTTGGAGTGAATCCGCATCATTCCAGAGTGACCCTTTCCCTTTCTCTTCAACTTTATCCCTTCTTTCCTCTCTCCCAAAGCCCAGATTCAGAGGTGGAAGCTGGTGTAGAGAAAGGAAGTGATGACCAGGCACAGTGGCTCACACCTATAATCCCAGCACTTTGGGAGGCCGAGGCGGGTGGATCACTACGTCAAGAGTTCAAGACCAGCCTGGCTAAGATGTTGAAACCATGTCTCTACTAAAAAAAAAAAAAAAAAAAAAAAAAATTCCTGGCACAGTGACAGGCACCTGTCATCCCAGCTACTCGGGAGGCTGAGGCAAGAGAATTGCTGGAACCCAGTGGGGGGGTGTGGGTTGCAGTGAGCCAAGATGGCACCACTGCACTGCAGTCTGGGTGACAGAGTAAGACTCTGTCTCAAAAAAAAAAAAAAAAAAAAAGAGAGAGAAAGGAAGTTATTTTAGTGTTACTTTGTTATTTTATTTTACCACCACCAAGCCCTGAGATTAGTGGGGGTAGTTAGTTTTTATTGCCAGTGTTAAAATTTTCCAGTGATGGTTTCATTGGGTTGTTTGAAAAACTTTAAAATTCAGAGTCTGTACTAATTTCATCTTAAAGACAGACAGGAGAGAGAATTCTCTCTGCAGCACAGTGGGTTCTTGGCAGACAACCTTGAGAACCCAAAAGGAGATGAGGCTGATTGTTTTACTGGCACACGATAAAAACCACAATCTTTTCTTCAGGTCTCTTCCTCTGTGACCTTGTGGTGGTGGCCAGTGTCTTTACAGTGCTCTCCACAGAAATTAAAAAACCCCATAAATGTAATGCCTCAGTAAACTTAATGAGGAATCACATAAAAGATACTTAGAATCAAAGAACGCAAGTGCAGAAAATTGGGAGTAACTGATGGAACTTGTGCTTATGTGTTGTCATTTTATTGAACCAACAAAAAATAATGGGGAGAGGAAATGTTGTTCACAGTTATATTTCTGGAAACCAGCCTAAGAATCTATCAGCTAATATACTTTTTTGTTTTATTGTTTTGAGATGGAGTCTTGCTCAGTTACCCAGTGGCACCATCTCAGCTCACTGCAACCTCCGTCTCCCAGATTCAAGCGATTCTCCTGCCTCAGCCTCCTAAGTAGCTGGGATTACAGACGTGTACCAACAGGCCCAGCTAATTTTTATATTTTTAGTAGAGATGAGGTTTCACCATTAGCCAGGCTGGTCTTAAACTCCTGACCTCAAGTGATCTGCCCACCTTGGCCTCCCAAAGTACTGGAATTACAGGTGTGAGCCACCACACCTAGCCCTAAGCTAATAAGCTAATATTCTTAATCGCAGTAAGTATCTCATGACAAATACATTATGAGTTTGTATTTATTAATTTTTAAATTGAGGAAATGTAATAACCACACACACAAAAATTTTTTTAAATATAATAATTTGGCTGGGCACAGTGGCTCATGCCTGTAATCTTAGCGCTTTGGGAGGCCAAGGCAGGCAGATCACCTGAGGTCAGGAGTTCCAGGCCAGCCTGGCCAACATGGTGAAACCTGTCTCTACTAAAAACACAAAAAATTAGCTGGGCATGGTGGCGGGCACCTGTAATCTCAGCTACTCAAGATGCTGAGGCAGGAGAATCACTTGAACCCAGGAGGCAGAGATGGCAGTGAGCCAAGATTGCACCATTGCACTCCAGCCTGGACAACAAGAGCGAAATTCCGTCTCAAAAAATATATAATAACTTAGAACAAATCAGACCAGCTTATTTCTGCTTTGAAGCCTGTATAGGTACAGGAGTTAACGCTGTCATAAGAGATTCAACTTTCCAAGAACACATAAACTTGCTCATAATAGAAAATTTGGGGACTTTAGAAAATAAGAAAATTAGCCAGGTACAGTGGCTCACACCTATAATCTTAGCATATTGAGAGGCCGAGGCAGGCAGATCACTTGAGGTCAGGAGTTTAGGACCAGTCTGGCCAACTGGTGAAACCCTGTCTCTACCAAAAAAAATACAAAAATTTGCTGGGCATGGTGGCAAGGGTCTGTAGTCCCAGCTCCTCGGGAGGCTGAGGCACAAGAATCACTTGAATCCGGAGGCAGAGGTTGCAGGGAGCCGAGGTCGTACCACTGTACTCCAGCCTGAGCAACAGAGCGAGGCTCCACCTCAAAAAAATAAAATAAAATTTAAAAAATAAATAAAATAAGAAAGTGAATGACGCACGTGGGAAACACTTTAGTGGAAGCCACTGTTAAAGCTTTCGATGCGTTCCTTTCCAGTTTATTTCCAGTCATAGAATTTTTGCTTTGTTTTCCTTTCCACATAATCAACATGTAAAATGCAAAGTAGGATATGATGTAAAAGTTATCAGTAGCATCAATCAAAAATATCATTTTGTAGGAATTCCAAAGTGACCAGAATCTCCCCTTCTCTAATACAGAGTCAGTCCCCCCCACCTCCCCGATGTCTTACACAGGAAATGATGCTTTTAAATATATATCCAGAGTACAAACATTGTGTATTTCTGCAGATGTTAAGGGAAGCTAAGGAGAAAGAGAAGCAGAGACTGGCACAGCAGCTCACAGTGGAGAGAACTGCGCACTATGGAATGCTGTTTGATGAATACCAAGGTTTATCACACCTGGAAGCCCTGGAAATTCTGTCCAATGAAAGTGAAAGCAAGGTACCTCTGCACTACTCATTTGAAATAGCATGTTTAGTAGTGTGTTTGCTTAAGCATGAAAGAAACTGGAAAATCAGCCATTAAAAGATCTCATTTTGGCCAGGCACAGTGGCTCATGCTTGTAATCCCAGCACTTTGGGAGGCTGAGGCAGGCAGATCACAAGGTCAGGAGTTCAAAACCAGCCTGGCCAATATTGCGCAATTCCATCTTTACTAAAAATACAAAAATTAGCCAGGCGTGGTGGCAGGCACCTGTAGTCCCAGCTACTCGGGAGGCTGAAGCAGGAGAATCGCTTGAACCTGGGAGGCAAGGGTTGCAGTGAGCGGAGAGTTGCAGTGAGCCGAGAGTTGCAGTGAGCCGAAATCAGGACACTGCACTCCAGCCTGGGCGACAGAGGGAGGCTCTGTATCAAAAAAAAGAAAGAAAGAAAAAGAAAAGAAAAGAAAAGAAAAATCTCATTTTTAGAGCCTCATTGTTATGCTAAGGTCACAAATAGTGTACAATGTGATGATACTCAAGCTCCGTTTAATCTCTTCTCTGTCCTATGCCAAGCTATTACCCCACCCCAGCCCCAAGAAGGCCAGCACAGTAAGAGCCACCACTAGCCCCCCACCTCATGATGCAAAAGACTGCTCAGAAGTGTGGCTGTCTGGCTTCTGGCCCTCTGCCTCCCTTTGGTGACGAAGTACCCAGGTCTGAGATGCCCTGCCAGCCCACATCTTCATTCCTACCCAATGAAAACAAAGCACTTGATGTTCCTTTTAGACTGCAGGGTTTTAATATATTTTGTCCTATGGGTTATATAGTTATTTATTCAGCCATCTTGTTAGGACACCCGGGCCACAAAGGGCAGACTTATCCTACTGAAGGGTAAGTTCTATTAGGGACTGCTCTGTGCAGACACCTGGGAAACCCACCCTACCCAATGGCCCTGCACATTCACATTTCCCCGCTTGATCCCAGGAAAACAAAAGATGACTAGCAAAAGTCAGCAAGGGCTGTGATTTTTTTCCCTTAAAGTATCTACAATGGAGTGTGTGTGTGTGTGTGTGTGTGTGTGTGTGTTTGTTTAGCAAGCACTTACATGACACTTATATAGCCACTATTCTAAATACCATAAAACAGTTAACTTATTTAACTATTTATGTAGCTGTTTTTTTGTGGATGTCAGGCTGACTGTGCTCTGGGGTGGTTTTCTTCTTTTCTTCTTTTTTTTTTGAGATGGAGTCCTGCTCTGTTACCCAGGCTGGAGTGCAGTGGTGCAATCTCTGCAACCTCCGACTCCCGAGTTTAAGCAATTCTCTTGCCTCAGCCTCTGGAGCAGCTGGGATTACAGACGACTGCCACAATGCCCAGCTAATTTTTTTTTTTTTTTTTTTTTTTTTTGTATTTTTAGTAGAGATGGGGTTTCTCCATGTCGGCCAGGCTGGTCTCGAAATCCTGACCTCAGGTGATCCACCCGCCTTGGCCTCCCAAAGTGCTGGGATTACAGGCATGAGCCACCACAACCAGTGACTCTGGGGTGGTTTTCTAGTGGAGGCCAAGTACCCTCCGGACCTCTGGAGAGGGAGGGGCCATAGTGATGTTCGCTGAGGAGGGGCAGATCCCCAGACAGGAAGCTCACTTTGGCAGTGAGCCTTAGAATGGAGAAGTCGTTTTTTAAATCTCTATAGACCTTATCTTCTTATGTTTAGACTTGGAGCCATTCTTGATGCCTGTCTAATCAGAAAAAGGCACCATCTGCTACATAACAGGCAACCAAGAACCAAATAGGATGGAGACATTGTCCCCTGCATCTTGTGGTTAAAACTGTTTAAGAATAATTTTCAAAAAAAAGGCAAAATTGGTACTCTCATACAAATACAAAATGACCCATGTTAAATAATTTATTTAGCTCATTAATTAATTCAGGGAACCAGGCAGATGTTATAAATGATTCAAAGGAAAAGCCAAAGAAGCGCAAATGTGTATGGAGTAAAGGATGTAGAAATAGGAATGTGGCTATACACCATAGAATACTATGCAGCCATGAAAAAGAATGAGCTCATGTCCTTTGCAGGGACATGAATGAAGCCGGAAACTATCATTCTTCAGCAAAGTAACACAGGAACAGAAAACCAAACACTGCATGTTCTCACTCATAAGTGAAGTCAAACAATTAGAACACATGAGCACAGGAGGGAACATCACACTCTAGGCCCTGTCAGTGGGTGGGGGGCAAGGGGAGGGACAGCATTAGGAGAAATACCTAATGTGGATGACAGGTTGATGGGTGCAGCGCACCACCATGGCACATGTATACCTGTGTAACAAACCTGCATGTCCTGCACATGTACCCCAGAACTTAAGTAAAATTAAAAAAAAAAAGAAAGAAATATGAATGTGCTAGCAGACATAAACCTGCTTTTCTGCATCGGGGAGATTATCCTCCCACTGCACAGAATTCATTCACATGACTATTGACAAGGATGACTTTGCATTGTTACCAGCCCTTTAAAATTTACAGACGTAAAATTGCTCCCATAAATTCAGAATCCTATAGTCCAGTAAGATGTGCCCTAAAAAATGCAGTTCACAGTCGGGCATGGTGGCTCATGCCTTAATCCCAACACTTAGGGAGGCCAAGGTGGGCAGATCACCTGAGGTCAAGAGTTCAAGACGAGCCTGGCCAACATGATGAAAATCTGTCTCTACTAAAAATACAAAAAAAAAAAAAAAAAAAAAAAAAAAAAGCTGGGCATGGTGGCAAAAGCCTGTAATCCCAGCTACTCAGGAAGCTGAGGCAGGAGAATCATTTGAACCCAGAAGGCAGAGGTTGCAGTGAGCCAAGGTCATGCCACTGCACTCCAGCCTGGGCAACAGAGAAAGACTCCATCTCAAAAAAAAAAAAAAGAAAAAAGAAAGAAAGAAAGAAAAGAAAAGAAAATGCAGTTCTCCATGAAAGAACACATTTTTTCTTACAAAAGCAAAGTCTGGAGTAAGACATTATTTAATTAAACACCACGCAAAAGCTGTATGATTTTGGAGACCTCTTACCTCAATCTCCTTATCTATGAAATGGGAATAATAAAACCTACCTCACAGAATTATTAACAGAATTAAGTGAGATGATCCACGGAAAGCTAGTAGTAGCAGCATGACTAACACGCATGTAAGTAAGCCCTCGATGTACACATGTTATGACATTTGATTTTTATATGCCTTCTTATGTCATATATATTTGCTGTTATTATTAAAAATATCACAGGGGAGCATGGCCCTGCTGTAAAAAAAAAAGAAAAAAGAAAAAAAAAAACTTACAGGATATCATGGCGGAGAATGATTCCATTGTGGTGGCTTCCATCACAGCTCTCAGCCGTGAAACAGCCCCAGGCCCATGGAAAAGAGCCCCAGAGGACTTAGTTTCTGGGACAAAGGTTTGGCCCTTATTGCCTCCATAAGCTCTGGGTTCTTTCCCTAGCTGGAGGTTTTTGTGATATTCACAGTAAGGAACATAAATGTTTGCCTTGACTTAGTAATGATAGTTATGGGGTACTGTAATAAATAGTCCTACAAATGTATGGGTCAAAAACAGTAAGAGTTAATTCTTCACTACTGTAATAGTCCAAGATAGGAGTGTCTGGTCAGGGGGCAGCATTCCTGCGATTAGGGATTCAGGAACCAGGCTGTGTCCATCTTGTGACTCCGCCAGACCCATTCCAATGTACACAGGTCTCCAGCAAGAAAACAAATGGAGGCTTAGACTGGGGTTGTCAGATGTAGTGAATAAAAGTACAAGATGACTGTTAAATTTTAACTTTAGATGAACAATGAATACTTTTTCAGTGTAAATATGCCTCATGCAATATTTGGGACACACAATTATATGACGAAAATATTCACTGTTTATCTGAAATTTAAGCTTAGCTAGGCGTCCTGTATTTCATCTGGCAACCCTACGCATCCCAAATATTTAAAAGTTAAAGAACTTTTGGGCCAGGCATAGTGGCTTACACCTGTAATCCCAGCACTTTGGGAGGCTGAGGTGGGCGGATCACTTGAGACCAGGGTTTCAAGACCAGCCTGATCAACATGGCAAAACCCTATCTCAACTGACAATACAAAAACTAGCCAGGCATGGTGGTACCTGCCTGGGTCTAAGGTAAATACAAAACTGGGTGAGCTGGCTGGGCTCAGTGGCTCATACCTGTAATCCCAGCACTTTGGGAAGCCAAGGCAGGTAGATCACCTAAGGCCAGAAGTTCAAGACCAGCCTGGCCATCATGGCGAAACCCCATCTCTACTGAAAATACAAAAATTAGCCAGGCGTGATGGCACATGCTTGTAATCCCAGCTACTTGGGAGGCTGAGGCACAAGAATCACTTGAACCTGGGAGGCAGGGGTTGTAATGAGCTGAGATCGCACCACTGCACTCCAGTGGGGGCAACAGAATGAGACTGTCTCAAAAACAATAAAAATTAAAAAGCTAAGGAACTTTAGAAACAGACTTAAAGCAAATGTATTCTGTATTCTTACCTTGACAAATATACTTGCGTAACGACCTGGAAGGCCAAGTTCCCATTCAAATTCCCAGACTCCTCAAATTTCAACACTCCCCTTCAGCCTGCCCACCTCCTATCTGCAGCTCCATCTCTCACCTCAGGGAACGTTATGTGCCTGTGGGAGGATGCCTTAGTTCAAGCTCCACCCACACCCCCTGTAAGCAGCCTCCTCTCAGCCATCCAGCCCTTGGGCCGAGGGATACACAGCCAATGGCACCATCTCACCTTCAAGAGCACAGCCTAGGGAAGAGTTCTTTGCAGGCTGGGAGAGGGAACCTTTGGTGACCTGGAGAGTGTTCTAGAAGGGAGATATGGGCTCTGGTAGGGCCATTTCTTGGGCCTGGGGACCCCCCTGTGTCGAAGCCTAAAGGCAGTGTTGGAATTCCCCATCCTCTGAGGCCTTTCTGTCTTCTGAACCGCATCAGCCTAAGTAGCGAGAGGGCAGAGAGGGCACTGCCAGGTTTTAAACACCTCGGCCCAGAAGGGATGCACATCATCTCTGCTGACAGTTCCTTGGCTGAAACTCAGACCCCTTCATGGAAATATAAGGAATTATTACCATTACTGTTTTACTAGCTTGATTCTAGGGTGACAACAGGCGCGGTGATGTGGTATTTGGTAAAGGTTAAAGATAAACTAAGCATTTTAGGCCAGGCGCGATGGCTCACACCTGTATTCCTAACACTTTGGGAGGCCAATGTGGGCGGATCACTTGAGATCAGGAATTTGAGACCAGCCTGCAACACAGAGAAATCCTGTCTCTATTAAAAAAAAATACAAAAATTAGCCAAGTGTGATGGTGTGTACCTGTAGTCCCAGCTACTCAGAAGGCTAGGCAGGAGAATCACTTGAACCCGGGGCATGGAGGTTCCAGTAAGCCAAGATTGCACCACTGCACTCCAGCCTGGGGGACAGAGTGAGACCCTGTCTCAAAAAAAAAAAAAGAAAAGAAAAGAAAAGAAAAACTAATCATTTTCATCTCCATTATGCTGCATATTTAGACATAGTAAACAAAAATCTTTACAATGCCAGCACACACCTCCTTTCAAGGAAAAGATTTATAAGAATCTGTCTACTCTGTGTCCTGGACAACACTTAGCATGGTACCAAGCATATAGTCAGCATTCCACAAGTTTTATGGAGGAGCGTGTGATTATGTCTTATTTATTATTGGATTGAACTAAAGATCCACTGCACATGGCCTTGGCATAATGCAGTGAACCAGGAGAAAGCAGAAGAGATGCTGTAGCACAAAGACGCGACAAAAGAGTGCTTTGCTAAAGAGAACCCTTCCCGGGGTGCCCCAAATGGAAAACCCCAGTGCTTTCCCTTCTGGATGATTGCCATCTACCAGAAGACATGGGCAAACCAAAATGTCCCACGAGTCTGCATACCTCTTCACTAAGCATGGTATTCAAACACATTTCCTCAATAATGAATGCTAGAAAATGGCTGTTTAGACAATAGATCTGAAGCCTAAGAATACACTGATGCACATCTGGGACCCTGACACCCAAACATGAGTGTGCGAGCTGAAATGAAGAGTCTGAGAAGGTCAGGGCAGAAAGCAGTGGCATGCAGCCATCAGGCTGGGCATGTTGACTTCCACCTGCTGAACTCCACACTAATGGGTTTTCGTGTTGATGACTTCCTGCAGAGCTTCCTCCCAGGGCCTCAGCGCTGGCTGCTTTAGGCCCTGGCAATGGGCTTTAGCAACCTTTAGGAAAATGGTGTCCTGCTATTTCAGATGCTCTCTCTACCTCTCTCACTTATGCTGATGTGCTCATCTAGTACCATAATGAATATTAAAACGTATTCCAAAGAGGACTGTGGCTCCACTGCTGGCTTTCTCTCCAGAGCAAGAGTTTGACCTACAGAATGAAAAAATAAAACTTTATTACTACTTTATACTTATAATTAATCTTTTATATGGTGCCTTTCCCATGCTTACCATTTTGGAAGTGCAAATAAATCTTCCGAGAATGAATGGCCATCTGTATAAATATATGTACATATTGGAGGCAGGACCTTGCTGGAATGCAGTGGCACAATCATGCACTGAAGCCTCAAATTCCTGGGCTCAGGCAGTCCTCTCACCTCAGCCTCTTGAACAACTGGGACCACAGGCATGCACCACCATGCCTGGCTAATTTTCTTAATATTTTTTATAGGGATGGGGGTCTCACTATGTTGCCTAAGCTGGCCTCAAACTCCTGGGCTCAAGTGATCCTCCCACCTCAGCCTCCCAAAGTGCTGGGGATTACAAGGGTGAGCCACCACACCTGGCCTGTACAAATAATTTTTAACCATGCACAGAGGATAGTTTCAAAAGAGAGGCTCTGAGAACAGTGAGCAGGGATAACATCAGTCCCAGCGTCACCTCCTCTGTGAAGTCCTCCCAGTGTGTGTCCTCTCAGTTCCCCAAGGGGGAAGGACAGCGCCTTTCCTCCCTCCACTGCACCCTCCTCTCATGACTGTCAGGGTTGTTCTTGGTTGACACAGCCTCACCCTTTAGACTGCAAGATGGTGGAGAAGAAAAATGTGTCTTATGCATTTTTGTAACCCCAGTATGATAACTGGCATCTAGCAAGTAAACATGTGCATCTATAGAATGCTTATTTATGTTCACATGGGTATCCATGTATATTTATAAGTATTGAGCATCACTGTAAGTATTTTAAGTAGATTACTTCATTTCACCCTCGAAACAACCTTCTAAGTTAAATGCAATTAGTTTCCACTTTACAGATAAGGAAGCTGATCTTCCGTAACATCTTAACATAAGTTAACGAAGGTCATAGTAAGTGAGGAACTGATATTTGACTTCAAGGTTGATGTCGAACTGCAGTTTCAACCACTGTGGTAGAAGAGCTACCACCACCATTTACATAGCACCTACTGTGTGCAGTTGCACAGTGTACTTCACATTTTCTATCTCATTTACTCCACAAAGAATCTCACCTTAAACATGAGAAAACTGAGACCCAGAGAGCTTATCTAACGTGCCCCAAGTTGCACAGTTAATAGGCATCAAGCCAACATTCAACCCAGTGATGCCTCCTACACCATGAATCACTTCGGTCCTGGGAAAACTGGGGACCACTGAATGTAAACGTTATTAATGAGAAGGAAAGATGACAGTTGTGCTGACCTATTTCTTTTTTTCAGATTCAGTCATTTTTAGCATCACTTGATGGAGAGATGCTGGAACTCTTAAAAAATGACCTAATTTCCATTAAAGACGTCTTTGCAGCCAAAGAATTAGAGAATGAAGAAAATCAAGAAGAACAAGGTAAAGGAAAACAAGTTAAATAGCAAGACAGACTGCTGGCATAATCCTTATGAAACTGCTGTTAATGAGCACAGCCCTTTGAATTACGTAACTCCAGGTGCTCCTCCTCCATGCTTCCAAAATACACTGCGCATCTGCTCTTGTTACAGGAGCTGCTCACATTGATTTAGATGACTCTGTCACTGGGGGGAACTCTTGTGCCTCTGGTGTTCAGTACAATCCCTGGCATACCACAGGCGTACAATAAATGCATATGCATATGGTCAGATGAACAAAGAATGCAACGTGCTAAATGGCCCTGATGACCGGAGTTTATGCTGCTGCTTATCATTTTTATCTACATGGAAAGTTAGTGTGATTAATGTTGATGGTGGGCAAATCTTTCCCTGAATTTTTTCTCATATTTTTCTTATTCTTTTTAGTTTATAGGTGTAAGAGTTAGGGTATATTGGCAAAGGTCCTATGCTTTACCTAAAAAGTTCAGTTCTGACAAAGGCTGTACCATTTTCTGCCCAGGCACCAGGGCGTGATACATCAGTTTGGCAGTCACACTGCCCGGTAATCTTACAGCCAGATAATAACTTGACCCAAGGAGACTAGAACTTATTTTATGAGGAGCAAGGCTTCCTTAGGAAGGGAAAACTTATTCTCAAGGTTGGGCATGATTAATGATTCCTTTAGGTTTGTCCATTTGGGAGCAGAAGAGAGTAAAACACTTGCTATGTACATGAAGAGTGATTTCTTATTGATGTCATAACCAACCACCGCCCCACAGCTGTTTCGTGTTAGTTATGCTAAAAGGCCAGACAACCTCAGAGACAGGGCTGGCTTCTCCTAGGACCATTGGAAGGGTCCCATTTGAAACCTTTTTACCACTTTCTTGTTATATGGCCTTAAACAAATTATATAACCTTTCTGAAATGCAATGCTGTATCTTCACTTGTAAAATGGAGAGAGTGATATGTGTGTGTGTGTGTGTGTGTGTGTGTGTGTGTGTGTGTATTTCAAAGAAATCCCAATATATCCCAAGAAATATATATATATTTGCTGTTGTAAGGGTCATATTAGGTAGCATATGTAAAAACATATATTACAGTGCCTGGCACACAGAACTGCTCAAAAATGTTAGCTGTGCTTATTACTTAAAGTGCTAACACAGTGCCAGGAAAAAGTAAAGGTGCAATAAAGTATGGCTTTCATGTATTATTATGCTTGTTTTTATTACCTGGCATGCACAGTAATGATAATGCACATTCTTAAATCGCTGGCAGTGTTTTGTGCCCAGACATGTTACATTCCTTTAATCAAAGCTCAAACACAAAAGCTCAAATGCTTGAGCCTTGATGTTCAGGGCAAAATTATTCTAAGCATTCAGAAACTATCATTTAGACACCACTTCCCTCTTTAATCCCACTATACTGACCTTATATGCCTTCAGCTTAATGAGATTTATGCTCATTGCATCAAAATAAAAGAATCAATTATACTGAAGCATAGAAAGAGGCCAGTATCAGAGACAGTTGGGAATCGTGCTTTTGAGCATTGGTATCTTCCTCCCAGAGTCACAAAGGATGACAGCCTCGTCTTTGTCTTTCTAATGAAGAAACTAAAACACTAGCTGTCAAAGGTCATGTGGCTCACCTTGTGGACCCAGGATGAACTAATAGATGGCCGTTTCCCAGACTAGCAATCACCAAAAAGAAATCAAGTTCTTTCTCTTCAAGAATCATGATGTCTGAGGTAGACGTTGGTTCTATTAAGGGTGTCATTTAGAAAGGGACAAAAAGAGAATCCCACATTTCCCTAACATCAAGGAGACATTCTTGCCAATGCAGTTAAAAAAGTATTGCATCCCCAACTGGTGCTATTCCTTGGAGGGGAAACTTAATTCCATACTGTTAAATAGAAAATGTCACTGTACGTGATGTATTCTAGTCTTAATGTTGACCTTCAGTAAATTCAGCTTCTTTAAATACCACACATGCACATATACACATGCAAAAACCTGAAGTGCTGAACAGCACGCTTCAGCAATGGTGGGTTCGCCTCTCCTTAATTTGCAAAACACTGTTATCTCCCATAATGTATCAGTTTTCCCAAGAGGGCATCTCCAGATTATCAAAACACTATTAATTTTAATTAACTTAATTTAATAAGTAAATGGCATTCAGAAACTTAATGAAAAACTGGGAGAAAAGAAGAGAGACGTTGTCATGAAATCAAAAGTGTCACACCTCCAGAAAGTTTCAGGGATTACGCAAAAGCTATAGGGAGGAATCTTTGCGGTGGGGGTGAGTAGGAAATCCAGGAGCAAAATTCTGGAAGAAAACAGCATTTTCATCCATTTGTTTTTTTCCCCTTATGAGCATTGCATTCCTAAAAGCCTCCTAACTAAATAATGCATTTGGTCCTCTCAGAAAATGTAATAAGCTATCATCTTTTAGATGAATTTAATATTGGTCTCCTCTGCATTTAATAATGTTAGCTAATGATTTGCATGTTTGTTTTTCCAGCAGAGTGTAATTTTATCACACTGCCATGGATCTCTTAATTTGATTTACCATGGCTGAGAAGAGATTTTAAAAGGCCATTTTCTATTTCTATTGCTCCAGTGAAGATCCTCTTGGCCACGTGTACAGACCAAGAGTTGCAGTAATAGGTATTGTTTGTTGCAACATTCATTATTATCTGTTTTTATCAACCTCCATTTTTCTCTATGATTTTTTTTCTAAAATATTTCCCAAAAGTTGTTGGTTTATGTTTTGCAGAATTAATACACCTTTAAAAGCTGGAGCTCTACAAAGTGCTTGTATCTGAATTTAGTGTTGAATCTGAATTTAGTGTTGATTCCTCCCAAATACTTTTACTCTCCCTATGTTTGTATCAGTGTAGCACACAATTTGTTTACATAAAACTTTCGTGTTTACAAAGCACTTTCACGTTTGTTGTAGTATTTGCTCCTTATAACAACTATAAAGAGGAGATGGGTGGGTTTTATTGTCCTCAATTTTCAGAGGAGGCAGTGGAAGCTGAAAAAGCTCTGTGCCTGGCTCCAGGCCACAAAACTACCAGAGGCAAGGAGCTGGATAGAACCCATGCCTTCCAATTCCTGGCCCAGAACTCTCCTTGCTCTGCAACACGACCTCATGCAGAATGAGGAGCAGGCAGTTTGGGAAGGAGACCTTGTCGATGCTGCCCAGGAGTGCCCGGCCCCTCTCACTTTCCCTCCCTGAGGAAGATTAGACCAAGACCTCTGCCCAGCAGAGAGAATCTCAGCTTCGGATGGAATCAATCTCTATCTCTGTCTTTCTCTCTGTCTTTTTTTTTCTTTTTTCTTTTTTCTTTTTTTTTTTTAGCCAGTCTCACTCTGTCGCCCAGGCTGGAGTAGAGTGGTACAATCTCAGCTCACTGCAACCTCCACCTCCCGGGTTCAAGCAATTCTCCTTCCCAAGCCTCCTGAGTAGCTGGGATAACAGGCACATGCCGCCATGCCTGACTAATTTTTGTTCTTTTACTGAAATGGTTTTCACCATGTAGGCCAGGCTGGTCTCCATCTCCTGACCTCAAGTGATCCAACCACGTCGGCCTCCCAAAGTGCTGGAATTACAGGTGTGAGCCACGGTGCCCAGCTCTTTCTCTATCTCTATCTCTATCTCTGTCTCCATCTCCATCTCCATCTCTATCTCTGTCTCTACCTCTGTTCTCTATCTCTGAGACTGTCTAGCCCTAATGCATTCTCATTCTTGAAGGTTCTGTTCAGGCATTACCTCCTCCAGGAAGCCTACTTCATACCCCTCTGAGAACTGGATGCTCAGAGAATGCTTTTATTATCCCCCAAACGGGTAATAAACCCATGTGGAATCAATGCTTCAGCACCTTTCAGAAATGTCAAAAATGGCACGGCCTTGCAGATATCTTAAAAGAGAAAAATAAGATTGTAACCTTTAACAATCTCTTTATTGCCCACAAGGATCCTAATTTTTTTATTTTATGATCTATATGATATTTTAATATGTAAACTATGTTATATATATTAATAGGTCATATTATTAAATGTTATACAATGTATTCATAAATTATGCTGTAAATATTTATTTTAGCACCTATTATATATGAGGTATTGTGTTAGATGTTCTGGATTCAAGAGTGAGCAGAATAAATACTGTGTCTGTCCCTCAGTAGCTTCCAGGGTGAAAGGAAGACGGATCATTTAGCAATATTGTAGGACCAGCCAGGTATCCTAGGGTATGTTGGGAAATTTCTCCAGAGAGATGGTTGAGACTAATTAGGCTCGTTCAGCACTTTGGCTCTGCGGACATAAGAGGGCACCTGGGTATCATTAGGGTTGCAATGCTAAGCATCACAATATCAAAGTCACAAATATGATGTTGTCCCGGGTCCCTTAGGCCTGAGAAAGGTCATACATTTCTCCATCCAGTCCTCCTTTCAGCAAATAGCTGCTGACCACCTATAGCTGTGAGCAAGACCTGCGAGGTCCCTCCTTGCCCTCTGTTGCCTTTGGATTGGCCTGGGGGTGTCCCCGCAGAAGCTGCCAGTAGCAGGGGCCCGGTGATGAAGCTAAAAATTCTGAGATGAGGAGATTATTCTAGATTGTCCAGGAAGCAGCAGGACAAGATGTGAATGATCTAAAGGACAGTGATGGATGCAAACCCTTTCCCAGCTCCCCCTACACTGGAGTCACTGACATGCTTTATCTACAAACTTGTCAAGACCCTAAAAATCCTTAGTGTACTCATGACCTTTGTACCACCCAGGTGAAAGGATGTGGCATAAATCCAATAAGTTGTGGACAATCTCTTATTTGCTTTGTATCTTTAGTACCTAGGTTGGAAAGCCCAATAAACGTTTGTTGGATGAATGAAAAAAAAAAAAAAAATTCAGGGGCCACACCCGGATGCCTCTGCTGCCTCACTGCCAGGCTCATGAATGGAAAACATTCATCTTTGCCCGGCGGCTGGCGGGCAGGCTGCTACAACCTCTGTTTAGTCTACCCCAACTGCAGGCTGGAACGCTGGGGGAGCTGCCACATCCTGAAGGAGGAAAAATAAATCACGCTTCTTCTGTCATGTTCTATTTCTAGGCTTAGAAGAAAAGGGAGAAGAATTTGCTCGCATGCTTACAGAGCTTCTCTTTGAATTACATGTGGCGGCCACACCTGACAAACTCAATAAGGTCAGCACCTTCTGATTTATAGTTTTTGGTTAAAAAAAAAAAAGAGAGAGAGTGCATGGGAGACTTTCTGTTGTAAAGTTCCAGAGATGTACCTGAAACAGAAAACCCCCAAATCTTATATGGCGTAGTGCCAGGAGAGAAGTTCGAGGTCAGTAATTAAGATTTGAGGTGGGGGTGGGCGGGGGGCTGGGTTTGGTGGCTCACACCTGTAATACCAGCACTTCAGGAGGCCGAGGTGGGCAGATCACTTGAGGTCAGGAGTTTGAGACCAGCCCGGCCCCGTCTCTACTAAAATACAAAAATTAGCTGGGTGTGGTGGCACATGCCTGTAATCCCAACTACTTGGGGACTGAAGCAGGAGAATCGCTTGAATCCAGGAGGCGGAGGTTTCAGTGAGCTGAGACTCCATCTCAAATTTTAAAAGAGAAAATCAGATTTGAGGAGGCAACACAAGGAATGTGGTGGTGGAGAACATGTAGACTGTGTCATGAAATCTGCATTTTAGTTGTAATTTTACTGGTAATTATCTTGCGACCTTGAACAAGTCACTTACCTTTTCATGGCAAAATAGAATGTTATGTCAGAGCAGTAGTTATCATCAGGTTAGAGGAGGGGAAAAGGGTGCAGAACCATTAAAAGGCTTTTTCAAATTTCATCCCCCACCCCCATTCTAAGGAAACGTGCCAGAACTAAGCAGAGAGAGGCATGTCAGCCAGGTAAACCCCACAGTCCCTCCTATCTGGAGCACAGGGGCTTTATCATGTCTAAGACCATTCCAGCTTTAACAGTCTGGGTTCCTCTAGTAATACCACAGTATGTTTTGCAAATTAGTACAAGGTCTTGCTGTGAAGTTTCTTTAGGGGACATGATCACTAATTACTTAAAACCTCGTGTTTTTCCATTCTCTCTCTCTCTCTCTCTCTCTCTCTCTCTCTCTCTCTCTCTCTTCTTTTTAGCAAGCAGTGGTTTACACAGGCACTCCCTTATCCAGGTAGGTGAGGAAAAGGGCAGAATGAGGTAGTGAGATGAATAATTTCTTTATCTCTGATGGGGTCACTGGTTCTGGCAGGTCAGTGACTTGAACACAGTGGGAAATTGCCTCATTCATCTCCCTGTGGCACTGCCACTGCTCAGAGCGGGCACGTGGTGGCTCTGAGATTCCACCGGCTCATTTGCATAGGTTTAAATCTTTGTCTCTGAAAGAGGACACACAGAGCACAGTTTTGTTGGGTTTTCTCTGCCCAGATCTTCTTACTGCTAACTTACCATTCAACACTCATATTTTTAACTTTGATGTATAAGATTTAAGGTGGGAAGTTTAGCCTGTGCCCCAAAACAACTTTTACTTAAGCAAACAGCTTAAACGATGATAACACAATTGGAATGAGTCTGGCTTTCTTTCTAAATTCAGGGAATAGCAGATAGGGGAGGAGGTTTCTGACTGTTTAACTTAGCCGTGATTTTTTAGGGCACATGGTGCATAAACCACACTCGTGTGAAATTAGACACAGAGCAGCACCAGGCCTTTCCCACAGCCCTTCTCTTCTCCCACTAGAGGTTGGCAGACCTGTCATGAATCAAGAAACGCAGAGCCCTCCTTCACCTTCCCAGCACATTAGGTTCACGAAACATTAAGAGCTTCCTGAGATATGTCAGATGAGGACATTTGCTGTAGCCACGGCCCTGGCTCAATTTCTAACCCGTATTTTTAAAACTACTGTTATTCTTTTATAGATGATCATGAAAAGTGAAAAATATGCTATAGATTTTTCAATGTGACTGTCATTTTTATTCTTATCGGGATATCACTTTTAAATGCTTTTTAAAGAGTCCTCAGGCTTGCAATGTTCTTTCCATACTTTCTATTCTGTCCCTTTTTTCTACTTTATATTTACCAGAAAGCCACAACAAGGCTATCTTTTTAGGTGGTTGAGAAATTGCCCCGTCACCCTCTAAACATACAGAGATCCATTTGAGACGGAGTCTCGCACTGTCACCCAGGCTGGAGTGCAGTGGCACAGTCTTGGCTCACAGCAGTCTCTCTGCCTCCTGGGTTCAAGCAATTCTCCTGCCTCAGCCTCCCAAGTAGCTGGGACTACAGGCGTGCACCACCACGCCCGGCTATTTTTTTTTTTCTTTCGTATTTTTAGTAGAGACAGAGTTTCACCATGTTGGCCAGGATTGTCTCGATCTCCTGACCTCGTGATCTACCTGCCTCAGCCTCCCGAAGTGCTGGGATTACAGGCACGAGCCAATGCAGCAGGCCAGGCCATTCTTGAAGATTTAGAGCCACTTGATTCTAGTCTTGGGGTTGGAATGACTTGGTTTCCATATTTGCAGCATAAAAGAATTGTTTGGTTGGGGACCTTTGCAGGCCATGAGGAAGGCTCATGACTGGGTGGAAAAGGATCAGACTGTGGTGTCGGTAGATGTGGCAAAAGAGTCAGAGGAGGAAACAAAGAAGGAAGAAAAGGAAGAGAAACCTCACGACCCTCAAGAAGACAAAAAGGAAGAAAAGAGAACTAAGACCATAGAGGTAAATTTATCCTAGAGTGTCCACCTACAAGGTAATAATAGAATGTTCATTTTATTAGCAACTTAGTTTTAAGTGAGGAGAGGGCATTTCTTTTTCATTTGTTCCATATTATAGAAATATAAGTAGAAATGCAATAAACACTGAAATTTCTGTCTGCCAAGATAATGCATGGTTTAGCACAAAGTTTGTCACTTTTCTCCATAGCTTTACAATTATAATTTAAAGGGAAAAAAGATCTTTAGGAACGTAGTTGATTTATCTTTAGGGTAGAATTTCATCTTATATGCAAATATGTTACTATAAAATGTCCTTATGTCCCATAACTAATGAGGTAATTGAAGCCTTAAAAAAAATGCATTGCCACAGCTTTTATTCTGTAATTTAATAAATTTATGTGTGCATAGTTTATAGCCTGCCTATGTTTAATAGAGGAGTTTGTAGTAACTTCATCTGAGTTTTAATTTTAAAGAAAGTAACTTTTTGGCCAAGCACAATGACTCACACCTGTAATCCCAGCACTTTAGGAGGCCAAGGCAGGTGGATCACCTGAGCTCAGGAGTTCAAGACCAGCCTGGCCAACATGGTGAAACCCCGTGTTAACTAAAAATACAACAAAAAAAAATTAGCTGGCCATGGTGGCACAAGCCTGTATCCCCAGCTACTTGGGAGGCTGAGATACAAGAATCACTTAAATCCAGGAGGCGGGTTGCAGTGATTAGATCACTGTAAGGAAAAATATCCATTGACCTCTGCGCATTCAGCCAGCCTTCCACACGCCTTCTTTAGCGCCTGCCTGTTTTGTGCCCAGCATTGCTGTAAGCACTGGGGACGCAGCTGTGAACAGCCTCTCCACATCCCTGGGTGCCTGACAATACTTCATTTTTCTGGCAGCATTGCACTTTAAAAAGTCTTCAATATGCTCATAATCTTCAGGTTAACTATTTCGTGTTATATTTAGTGTATTTTTAAAAGAATTATATCACTTCTATTGTCACAGCATTTTTTAATAAAAGCATCTGCTCGATAAATTTCTTCCTCATATTTATTCATTTCAGGAAGTATACATGTTGTCCATCGAAAGTCTGGCAGAGGTAACAGCGCGCTGTATCGAGCAGCTTCATAAAGTAGCAGAATTAATTCTTCATGGACAAGAAGAGGAAAAACCAGCTCTGGACCAAGCAAAAGTTCTAATAAAGTAAATAAATGTCACTTTAAATTCTTATTTTCCAATTTTATATATAGGTACCATTCAGATACATACATATACACCAGTACTCTCAAAGCCACTGAAATATTAAGGTTTCTTTTTGTTTGTTTGTTTTTGTTTTTTGGTTTGTTGAGGTGGGATCTTGCTCTGTCACCCAGACTGGAGTGCCGTGGCATGGTCATGACTCACCGCAGCCTCAAACTCCCTCAAGGCTCAAGCGACCCTCCCGCCTCAGCCTCCCCAGTAGTTGGGACCACAGGTGCACATCACCACATCCAGCTTATTTTTTAATTAATTGCAGAGACAAGGCCTGGCTATGTTGCCCAGGCTGGTGTCAAACTCCTGGGCTCAAGCGATCCTCCTGCCTCAGCTTCCTGAAGTACTGTGATTACAGGCATGAGCCACCATACCTGGCCAGAGATTCAGATTTCAAGTCAACCAATTCTATTGTTCTATGGTCACCTTAAGAAATAAGGATTTCTCTGTTAGTTAGTTAGTTAGTTAGTTTGTTTGTTTGTTTGTTGTTGTTGTGGTTTTTGAGGCAGAGTCTTGCTCTGTAGCCAGGCTGGAGTGCAGCGGTGCGATCTCGTCTCACTGCAACCTCTCCCTTCTGGGTTTAAACGATTCCCCTGCCTTAGCCTCCCAAGTAGCTGGGACTATAGGCCCACACCACCATGCCCAGCTAAGTTTTGTATTTTTAGTAGAGATGAGGTTTCACCATGTTGGTCAGGATGGCCTCAATCTCTTGATCTCGTGATCTGCCTTCCTTGGCCCCCTTAAAAATAAGCCATTAAAGTGCTGGGATTACAGGTGTGAGCTACCTTATTTCTGGCCAGAAATAAGGATTTCCTTAACAAATGCATTATGTTAGCAAAGAGAAGACGACTTCACTAGCCATTCTAGGAATTATTCATGAAGAGATTTAAGGGAAGACACATTAAATCATTCAGAGGCATGAAAGTGTTTATTTAATAGATCATAGTCTTAGGAGTAAAAACTTTTGAGGGTAATTACATTTTCAGCATACACACGAATAGAGAAAGGACACTTTAATAACTTCTAGCTAGATTCACAAAAATAGGCAAATACACTCCACTGTTCCTGGGGACTTATACCATCTCTGCATATTCTAAACTCGGGTGATGATGGTAGCTAATATTAAACAGTTCACCTGGGTTGTATGTGTGTACATATGTGGTGTCCTCTATTATGTTCTTCAACAAATAATTGCTATTATCATTACTTTATTAAGTAAAATGAAAATATTTAGGTATGTAACAGATATGAATATGCAATCTAGTGAATATACATGAAAACAGTTGATATAGTGTTCATGAAAATAATTGGTATGAAGCTGAAAAATAAGCCATTACTGTGATATAGAAAATTAACATAGGCCTAAGTACCCTCGTGTTATTATACAGACACAGGGGTCAAAATAGAGCCCCTGAAAATATTCAGGAACAGACACACACAGGTCTCAACACGGCCACTTCACTAGCTAACTAGTCTTTGCTTATTACTGCTTTGGTGTTGTAGGTTGGGGAGTAAGCTTTTCGTGGAAAGATCTTCCAAAAATTCAGCATTAGTGTCTTTCTACTGGTGGCATTTTTCCTCACTTGTAGAGATCTTTCATCTAGCCTAGATTTCCATATCTAAGAATGTAAAAATCAAAGTTATTTTGAGAACCACATAATCCCCACCTTAATATTCCCAGAAAGAATACACACTTGTCTCAATATTTAGAAAGAAGAGGAATGGACAAAGTAAGAGAGGTTGAAAATGCTGAGGGCAATCTGTAGGTACTAGTTTATCTTTGCAGTACTAATTGGAAAGTGGAGAACTAAAGTTCAGAAGCCCTAGGTGTGGGTAACAGGACCTTACTCTTTGCTCCCTTCTGATTCCCAGCCCTGATTGTCCTAGCCTTACCAAGCTGCACTTAGTCCCTGACTTGTCTGTTAAATAAGTGCCTCCCCACCCACCTGCCCAAGAACACAGACTGAATGGCTCTGGGACAGCTCCTGGCTTTACTCTTGATGCTTTCTGCAGACAAGTTTTGGATGGATGGGTGGGTGGATGGATGGATGGATGGATGGATGGATGGGTGTGTGGGTGGATGGATGGATGGATGGGTGGGTGCGTGGGTGGGTGGATGGATGGATGGGTGGGTGGGTGGGTGGATGGATGGGTGGGTGGGTGGATGGATGGATGGATGGGTGGGTGGGTGGATGGATGGATGGATGGGTGGGTAGGTGGGTGGGTGCGTGGATGTATGGATGGATGGATGGGTAGGTGGATGGGTGGATGGATGGGTGGATGGATATAGCTCATAAAACCTAAATATATGTTAGATAAGGCCTCTTTTATTAAAGCAAAACTTACCTCTGCTGACTTTACTAGATCTTTTAACATATAAGATTCTTGACTTGGGGTTATTGTTTTTCCCATAGCATTTCAATCACTATTCATGAGAGCTGTGTGCACTAATTGATAGAAAAATAGCAGACCATAACTACATTATTAGGTAATTAAATTGTTTTCAGTTTTTGTCATCATCTATACTGTTAGGATAAATGTTACTTTCATTAAATATTTGTGTGTATCTTGTGTTATTTTCTTAGAATAAAGTCCCAGAAGTGGAATGCCTAGAATAAACTTGGAATTTTAATATAAGTATTAAAAACATATTCTATAGGATCTTTATTTTTGAAGCAAATAGTTTTAAAAAATCAAAATATCCAGAGACACCTGAATTTGAATCCACCTTTCCTGCATGTTCTAAGCACCTAAACAGTTTACCTAACTTTCTTTCTTTCTTTCTTTTGAGACGGAGTTTTGCACTTGTCACCCAGGCTAGAGTGCAATGGTTCAATCTCAGCTCACTGCACTCCTGGGTTTAAGTGATTCTCCTGCCTCAGCCTCCCGAGAAGCTGGGACTATAGGCGCGCGCCACCACACCTGGCTAATTTTTTGTATTTTTAGTAGAGACAGGTTTTCACCATGTTGGTCAGGCTGGTCTTGAACTCCTGACCTGTGATCCACCTGCCTTGGCCTCCCAAAGTGCTGGAATTATAGGCATGAGACACCATGCTTGGCCACGTAACTTTCTTAAATGTCTGATTTTCCATCTATATAAAATGGAAATAATTATATAACTCATAAGGTCACTCTGAGAATTAAATATGATTAGGCATATGAAAGTGCTTAACATAGTGCCTCAGTGAATGTTCATGATTATTTTGAAATGACCAAAAAACTGCAAACCAGCCATGTGGCAAGAGTTTATACCTTGACACATGTGAAGCTGAAGCCTGATATTTTCCTACACAAAGTTTTGATTTTAAAGGAGGTCAGGTGAGTTGGATGATTATTCTTTAAGCCTGGAAAGAAAACCAGGATTAGATTAAACCACGATTGCAAATCATGGAAGATTATTGAGGGAACCGTCAGATTGCACATTTCTGTAGAGCATCTTCAAGCGTGTGCGGTATTCTTTTAAATGTCATACTGAATTAGTATCAGAAACTGTCATGACACTTCAATTATTTTACCTTATTGAAAACATCCAAAGCTATCTTGTTTTCTTATTTCAGATTAACTACTGCAATGTGCAATGAAGTGGCCTCCTTATCAAAGAAGTTTACGAGTTCTTTAACCACTGTTGGGGTAAGATTACAGTCTGGATTTTTTTTTTCCACCTTTTTTAAGGGAAGTAGTTCTGTGAGGGGCTGTGAGGAAATACGGAGATGCAGCACTTTCTTTAATCGCTCCATAAAACTAAAGCTATGTCGTGATGTAAGCTAAAGTCAGGCCAAGAGCAACTTCTCTAAGGACAGGCAGCATAGGACTCTCCTGACTGGGTTCTAGCCTTAAATCTGCCATCTCAGACATACAAGATGTTGGGTGAGTGAGTTGTCAAACCTCTGTTTTTTGTTTGTTTGTTTTTTTAGGTGTCAGATGAAGATTCCATTAATTACTTAATATCTGTGATATATGTAATTCAGAATCTCTGTTAAAATGATTAATTTTGAATATTTTCATTGACTGTTGCCCTCAGAGCCTACTTTACAAGCCATGCAAGATAAAGTTCTCTTTGTTTCATTGTCACATTTGACTTTAACCAAAAGAAAAATGTTACTGATTAGCTCAACTGTTTCTGTTCTCAAGGTAACAAGTTTGAAAGACTCAGCATTCACTTGGAGGTGTGACCTCTCATTATTTTCTTTGGCCATAAGTCATACTATATAGCTTCACCTTAGTGGGCTCACAGAAAATTGGAAAATACTTCTTTTTTGTTTTGAGCCAGAGTCTCGCCAGGCTGGAATACAGTGGCGCAATTTCGGCTCACTGCAACCTCCGCCTCCCAGGTTCAAGCAATTCTCTGCCTCAACCTCCCGAGTAGCTGGGATTACAGGTGCCCACCCGCACACCTGACTAATTTTTGTATTTTTAGTAGAGACAGCATTTCACCATCTTGGCCAGGCTTGTCTTGAACTCCTGGAAAATATTCCCTTTAACGTTCCTGTTTTTTCTTTTAAAACCCTGGATGCAAAGTCTGATGATGTTCTCCGTGAGAAACAGCAGGTTACTTCCTATTCTAATTAGACTGGTTTTGGGTTTTGAATGCATTAGTTTCCTAGGGCTGCTCTAACAAAGTACCATAAACCAGGTTATTTTCTTGTGGTTCTGGAGGCTAGACGTCTGAATACAAGGTGGTATTGGGGCCTTGCTCTCTCCAGCGCCTCTAGGATCCTTCCTTACTTCTTCCAGCTTCTGGTAGACCCAGGTATTCCCTGGCTTGTGGCTGCAGAACTCCAGTCTCTTTCTGTGCGTCTTGACATGGCTGCTTTCTCCCTGTGTGTCTTCACATCATCTTCCTTCCACGCGTGTCTGTGCCCAGATTTCCCTCCTTATAAGGACACCGGGCCTATTGGGTTAGAGCATGACCAATATGACTTCATCCTAACTTATCACACCAGCAACAACTCTATCTCCAAATAAGGTCACAGTCTGAGGTGCTGGAGGTTAGGACTTCAGTATGTCTTTTTGCAGGGGACACAATTCAACCCATACCAAGAAGCAACAGAAACACGTTCGAAAAAATTCAGACAAAAAGGAGGCTTTACAAAAGGCCGTGGGGGAAGTGAACGGCTGTGGGGATCCAGCCCCAGAGCTCATGCACACTCTCTCTCTTTTGTTTTTGAAACTGAGTCTTGCTCCGTTGTCCAGGCTGGAGTGCAATGGTGTGATCTCGGCTCACTGCAGCCTCCGCCTCCTGAGTTCAAGTGATGCTCATACCTCAACCTCCTGAGTAGCTGGGATTACAGGTGTGGGCCACCACTCCCAGCTAATTTTGTATTTTTAGTAGAGACAGGGTTTCATGATGTTGGCCAGGCTGGTCTCAAACTCCTGACCTCAGGTGATCCAGCTGCCTTGGACTTACAGGCATGAGCCACTGTGCCTGGCCTACATATACTCTCTCTAAAGTGCTGCTGTTGATGTGACTCAGTGACAGCAGTTCCTAACCCTGTGTCTTTCCATTCAAATTCCTGGTTCCTGGGTAAGAAGGTTTGAATAGCTCATTGGTGTGGGTCATACGTCCACCTTGGCTTCACTCAGCAGCAATTGGGGACAGCGTCTCATTGTGCAGACCTACCTGGCTCCTGGGGCACTCCCCCTCCTCCTCCCCAGGCCAAAAGCATTTCTCAAAAGAAGTGAGAAATGACTATAGACCTGGCTGTCACCCAAAAAGATGCCTGTCCCCCACCCTTCTGTAAGTGACTCTGTGAATAAGGGGTGAGCTACACACCACCTATTCATTCTGCTGTCAAGAAAGCCGGTCTGCTTCTCCTATTTTGTAGAACAGCACCTTTTAGGTTTGTCTAATTTCAGGTCCTCAGCAATAGAGCTTCACTGTATACAAGCAGCATGACAAGAGAGGTAGAAGCTCATTGATAACATAGACTGGATAAAATGCATTTGCGCCCTCAGCGTGGTCCAAGTTACCTGATGTCCATGGACTTTGATATAAACACTAGGCTTGCAGAGAGGTGCGAGGTCTTAAGATGGAATAGCCTTGGTGACTCCAGTTCCTAAGGCTCTAGTGCACCCTCTTGTCACCCTTCTCACAGTTTACCAGGTGAGGAAACTGAGGCCCAGAAGGGTGAATTGAGTCCCCCAAGCCTCTTAGAAGAGCTCTTAATTCCCAGTCGGTTATTCAACAGATTCATCAGACAGAGACCAACGCTTTGGTTCTCTGGGTTTGTTTAGGCTTGAGAACGTAACTGTGTGCATGTTTGTGTGTATTATATTTTGCATAATATTGTTAAATATTAATGTATCTACATGAGTGGGTAGTATTCATGGTATTGTTTTCCATTCCTTTTCGCATGGTTTATCCCAGCACAGCATCTCAAACCTCAAGGTGCACATGGATCACCTGGAGATGTTGTTAAAATGAAGATCTTTATTCAGTAGAGGCTGAGATTCTGTATTTCTAGTAAGCAGTCAGGTGATGACAGTGGTCTTGATCCATGGTCCATATTTTATGTAGTAAGGTGCTAGCAGGTGGCCATGCACTTGACCTTATATATATTTATGTATACACGCACACGTACAAGTGTTTGCAAGAACAAAATTAGGAGCACACAGGTTATTTTGGGGAAGAAAAATCTGAATCTAAAACAGAATTTAGAAATGCCCTCTCACCACAACAATACCTCTGATCTTGTGCTGTGATGAATCATTTATATCAATTCAGTGTTTCTGTTCTCTGAAACAGCCATTATTCATAACTTGAAGTTAATGAGTGTTTATTGCTCTCTAGACTCTATTTAAATTGCTTGCATACCTCATTGATTCTGAAAACCAATGTCATCTTATTGCCCTCATTTGATTATATTTTAGAGGTTTATTGATAATCAAATAAACATGAAAGCAAATACCATAATGGATTTTCTGGTTACTTACTAAAATGACTGGGTTTTTAAAGAGGTTTCTCCCAAGACTCCATTATGGTTTCCCCAGTAAGACATTACTTCACCCTCAGTAAAGTAATGTCAATGAAAGTGGGCTGCTCTGAGAAGATACATTTAATTTATATATTTTTCTTTATAATGAACTCTTCCAGGTACTTTAAAAGAAGCTAACTTATTAAGATTGCCCTTTTTCTCACCAATCCTTTTAATGGTTTATGGTCTAAGAGTAGATTGAACTCTTAGACAGAGAAGACTATTGATTGATAGACCGACAGCATAAGCAAAGATAATGACTCCAACTCTGCCTTTCACTTTCTCTTTTTTTTAGACAGAGTCTCACTCTGTCACCCAGGCTGGAGTGCAGTGGCATGATCTTGGCTCACTGCAACCTCTGCCTCCCAGGTTCAAGCAATTCTCCTGCTTCAGCTTCCCAAGTAGCTGGGATTACAGGTGCCCACCACCACACCCAGCTAATTGTTTTTGTATTTTTAGTAGAGACAGGATTTCGCCATGTTGGCCAGGCTGGTCCCAAACTCCTGACCTCAGGTGATCCACCCACTTCGGCCTCTCAAAGTGAAGGGATTATAGGCTTGAGCCACCATGCCTGGCCTGCCTTTCACTTTTCGAGTCCCTACTTTATACCAGGCACTGTACTCTATGCTTTCCATATATTTGTGTTTTTCAAATATGGATCTGTTGACCTGTGTTCAAGTTATATTCAAGAATGTCTTAATTTTGCTGCTCTTCTGGAAGATGCCCTACAATCATGTTCCTATGTTTGCATTTAAAAGAGAAAGAAAAGAAGACTAGACCAACGCTTAGACTAGATTAGGTGAGTGAGGGACTTAACTCACCTGCAAAGTGAAAGGGGCCCAAAAAAGGAACAGAAAACAAAACTCAGGAATCTAGATCGCGATTTTAATGAAATATTTCTTAAAATAAAATGCCAAAATATTATGGTCATCAAACTATCAAAACTTTAAGGAAAGACAGCATCGAATCCTCTGCCTACACAACTCAGCCTCCCTCACTTCACTCTTATCCCAGATCTGCTACAAAATTTACATAATGAAAAAGGTTTCAGCTTAAATTTCTAGCCATGTGATCTTAAACAAGTTACTCAACCTCTCTGATCCCTGTTTTCTCCTCTTTAAGTTGGGGTTATCATGATACCTGCCTACCTCCTAGGATTTCTGTTGCGATTAAATGAGACTAAAAAGGTGCCGCAGCAGGTCTGAAGCCTGGTCTGTAGGAAGCATTCTGCTTCTCCTCCTCTTCCTCTGTAAGAAATCCCTCAACAAATCCAGTGCATTACATTTTACATGGCAAGCCTTGTAGTATGAGCACCTAAACTGTCAATTTCGTACTTCTGATTCCACAGAGCAACAAGAAGGCCGAGGTCCTTAACCCCATGATCAGTAGTGTATTGTTAGAGGTAAGTGGCCCCTGGAGAGAAAGTGCTTCTGAATCAAAGCAAATGTTAGAACTTCTTTTCCTTGTTGTTGTTTTTTGTCTTTCTCCCCCACAGCAAATGTTACTGCAATTCTAAATCTCATCATCAAGTCTTTTTTGAGTATATTTGTGTAACTCAACCAGCTGTAAACCCTCTGATGAAGCAACAATACCTAATTTTCAAGAATTCCTGATTATAAAAAGAAACGCTAAGCTTGCACATTATTTCTGTCGCTGTTTCCTCCAGCAGAAGCAGCTTTCTGCTGCCAAATTTGACACTAGATTTAACACTATGATTATTGGCTGCAATGACGGGTTATTGCTCAACGGTGATTTTCATAAAAATGGGCACTTCCTTCGATTTAGAATAACCTTTGGTTTAACTGTGTCTAAGCTCCAAGCCAGCAACAGTGGCAAGGAGAATCTATGCCCAGTCAACGACAAGGGCACCATCCTCTGTGACTTCACACTCTGTGGCCTGCCCGCTCAGTAGGACTTCGCAGCATCAGTTGTGTTGATATAAAGCTGCCCCAACCAACATTGCTGTGTCTTTGCCAGTAACAGTAACCTAAGAGAGAAGAAAAGAGGTCCAGGAAGGATTCTCATTCTTGGATCGTAGGCACTGCATTCTACCCTTAGAGGAAAGGTAGAAGATTGGTAGAGGAACATCTTCTGTTAGTGGATAAACTATAAGTAACAGCCCCAGGGTACCCAGCTGAAGACACAAGGTGTTAACAAGCTCAATTTGATTATGGGCAATGCATGTATCATAGGGTTTTGCTTTCTGAAGTGGCTGTCCATTGCAAAATTTGGAAATTACAAAAGTTCAGGAGGGCTGCTCTATTAGTCCATTTTCACCCTCCTGATAAAGATCTACCCAAGACTGGGCAATTTACAAAAGAAAGAGGTTTAATGGACTCACAGTTTCGCATAACTGGGGAAGCCTCACAGTCATGGTGGAAGGTGAAAGGCACGTCTCACATGGCAGCAGACAAGAGAAGAGAGGTTGTGCAGAGAAACTCACCTTTCTAAAACCATCAGATCTCATGAGACTTATGAGAATAGCATGGGAAAGACCTGCCCCCATGATTCAATGACCTCCCACCAGGTTCTCCAACGACTTGTGGGAATTGTGGGAGTTACAATTCAAGATGAGATTTGGGTGGTGACACAACCGAACCACAGTAGCTACCTATATATTTATAGCATTGTTTTGGGGACTTGTCCCTTACTGTTAAGGAAAATGACTAAGGTACAGAAATAACAAAGTGATGTCACTGAATATGATTGTTTCGGATGTAGCCCCACAGTGGGATGCCATCAGCGAGAAGGAATAGGAGCTATAGGGAAAGGTCTTGGAGGGACAGACACAGCTAAGAGGAAACCCAGGCAGTCAGAGGCAGAATTTGGTACAAGAAAAATCTCTCCCCTGGCCACCCAGAAGGCATAAAATTAACTTACCATGTCAAGTATGAGCAATATGAGGTCAAACGTTTTTTCCATTTCCCCAATAGACGTTTACCCGTGTTTTAGTTACTCTAACCTTTAAATAGCCTCTCCATCCAATACTATGTATTAGTGCATCACAAAACAGGAATACTAATGTCAGCTATCTCAACCAAGCAGAAAGTACCACGCATAGGAGGATAACGGGGTTCAAGTTTGCCATGAGTGACTCGCCAATAATATCTCCAGTTAGCTTTATGTTGACCATTCTTGGTTATCTATCTGTAGCGTAGGACAAAATGACCTCCTTCATACTGTGTTTTTGTGTTATTTCAGGGCAGTAGGGTTGATCTGGGAAAGGGATAAATAAGATAGGACATACCCTGGGTCAAGAATGTACACACACTGATGGATCTTAAAAGTCCATGGTAATGATTTGCCTCATTTTGAATAAATTCTTCTGTTTGTTAGTATAGATAATTAAGAGCTGGTCATGCTCCATCCAAAAGCATGTGTTTACACTTGCTTTTAAGCATCAGCATTGCAAGATGAATGTAATCCAGTATTGATGGGGGTGTTGAAGACTGGGGACATTATCCAATAGGAAGAATTGTTAAGCTGAACTATGAAAATAGCCCTTCAACCTCATTCTTCTCCTGTCTCAGGGCTGCAACAGCACGACGTACATACAGGATGCCTTCCAGCTGCTGCTGCCTGTTCTGCAGGTCTCACATATCCAGACCAGTTGTTTGAAAGCACAGCTGTGACCTGGCCAGCCTCCGTCTAGTTTAAGGAGACAGCTGGCCACGTTGCCTCAATATATGCCATTTAAGGGGATATTCTCGGTGCATCTGGCCACAGACACCCATTTGAGGACACTACAAGCAATTTTGCACAGACAATATTGAGAATGCAAGTTTATAGAGAGTTATCATTTCTCTCAATGTATATGATTGTTTTTATAAACAATTGTGTTTTCTTTATGTTAATTTAAACTTACACGGCTTATATTGAAAATTTTCTTTTATCTAAAATTTATTTACAAATATATTTAGAAATTCATGGCAGACCTTAGACTTCTTTTATAATCCTTTAAATTTCAACTTCTAAATGTTCCATTCTTGTAGTATTACTTTAAATCAATTCTAAAACTGAACTTTGTTTTGTTACATAAATGTCGCAGGCAAAAATAACACTACTTATAGATTTTACCTATTATGGTAAAAAAAAAAAAGAGGGACATATGGTTATTCATTCTTTTTTTCTCTTTGAGTCTTGCTCTGTTGCCAGGCTGGAGTGCAGTGGCACAATCTGTACTCATTGCACAGTCTCCTAAGTAGCTGGGACTACAGGCACGCACCACCATGCCCAGCTATTTGTGTGTGTGTATGTGTGTGTGTGTGTGTGTGTGTGTGTGTGTGTGTGTGTATTTTTAGTAGAGACAGAGTTTCACCATATTGGCCAGGATGGTCTTGATCTCCTGACCTCATAATCTGACCATCTCGACCTCCCAAAGTGCTGGGATTACAGTCATGAGCCACTGCACCTGGCCAGTCATTCATTCTTGCAACAAGCATTTATTGAGCACCTACTATGTGCTCAAAGTAAAGAAACATGGTGTCATCCCAGTACAGGTAGATCTTCTGAAAGAGAATAATTCTTAAGCTGCTTAACACAAGGTCCCCCATCCCCAGGCCACAGACCAGTACCAGTCCATGGCCTGTTAAGAACCAGGCCACACAGCAGGGGGTGAGCAGTGTGGGAGAGCGAGCACAGCTTCATCTGTATTTACAGTCACTCTCATAACTTGCATTACAGCTTGAGCTCCACCTTCTATCAGATCAGCAGCAGCCGCATAAGAGTCTCACAGGAGTGTAAATCCTATTGTGAACTGCACATGCAAGGGATCTAGGTTGTGCGCTCTTTGTGAGAATCTAATGCCTGATGAATCTAATGCCTGATGATCTGAGATCAGTTTCATCCTGAAACCGTCCCCTACTCTTCATCCCCCTACCCCCAATCCGTGAAAAAATTGTCTGCCACCAAACTGGTCCCTGGTACCAAAAGGTTG